GTTCGGATCGTGCGACAGATCCAGTCAGTGTCGAAGGTCGACGGGTATTGCCCAATCATAGCGCGAGTTAATTGTGTCCGCGTTTTGGCTATTTGTGTAGTTTTGGCGTATCTAGGTCGAGTCAGAAAGATAGGAGCAAGAAAGGGTCAAAACGTATTAGACATACCAAGTGTAGCCATGCAAAAAGGCAGGAAAAGGCAGCAAGAGAGAAAAGCGACGGACTGATTGACAGACGGACGGACGGGCAGACTACTTACCCGGTAAGGAAGCGGGAAAGGACGCCTGATTAACGCATTGTCCAGACCAATGGAGAGTACAAATCCACCAACAGCGTTGCAGGAAAGCCCTACAGGGAGCGCCATCCCTGGCGGAAAGCCAAGGATTCGACGTTTGTCCAGCTGGATCGCCGTTCTTGGAGCGACGATTGGAAGTGGAGCCAGCTGTACGAGTGGATGGACGCGAGCATCATACAACTTGTATTCTCAGGAAGAGCGCGGGGCAGTACAAGTCATCGCTGCCCACCACGCGGCTGCGGCGCCCGAACACCTCCAGCGCCGGCATCCTCGCACCTCGACAGTAAGTTCGACTATGCGAAATGCGGGACAAGAAATTTGACCTTCTTTTCAGCCAATAAGATCGAGCCTGAAATAAAGCACAACAACAAAATCTTTCTTAAAAAAACGTTATTTTATAAGCTACTACTACGTAAAATCTTTTTTACTAAAATATTTAAGAAACGTTATTTTATTAGCTACAACTATGCAGTATTAATTCAATTTACGAAATATTGTTTTTATTCGGACTCGTTCCTAACAAAAATTGGTAGTATTATATTTAAAATAAAAGGGGGATCTTTTTTTAAAAAAAAAAGGTGGTGTGTGGTTTGGCCAAAGGGAAAGGCCCCACCCTCTTTTTTTTAGACTCAGAACCCAACCGGCTGCGAACGCGTAAAAAAGAGATGGGAAGAGGCAGGCATCGATGTTGGGTTATCTGTGATCAAATACCATTTCAAAACCGCAAAATGGGTCGATTTACAGGATGAACAATCTTTAGTTACTTACGAGCTGAAATAGGCAGTACAAGCAGGTAAGTAGTGCAGGCTGGACAGGCCATTAGTATTGTTTGCGCTGAGGTGAGCTAAGTTTCACAGCGGCTCAGAAATGGCCCGTGATATCGAGTACGACGTTAAGCTAAACATATTGTGTTGCGTTTGTATATATGTTATTTGAAGTGCTGGTGGTTTTGGGTAGAAGATGAAGATACATTGATAGCCAGCAATAAAAAAGAGATTGCATCAAGAATCTTAATTCAGAATCATTCGAGCTAATGTGGTAATACTGCCGAACCAGCAGTATCACCAGCGCAATCCAGAACGGCTGGTGCTCAATTTAGTTTAAGCATGTGGCGGAGAGAATACTGTGCAACGCATCTTTACTCTACAACTGCTAGTTACAATGTGAAAGTAGCGTATGTATTACACCCTCCGCCGCAGCCTGTACTCTCCCGGCTACTCAGTAAAATCCAATAGAATAGCCTCATTTCCGATTTAACTGAGTGAAAGGACTGTCACTGTAACGGGCCAGGTATTTACTCCGTTACTTGCTTACACTATAGTGTTGAGGAAGCTCGCAATAGGACGACTGAGTCTTAACTTTATCAACCCAGGATCACGCGCTGGTGCTCGGCCAGCAGGTCCGCAAGACGGAAAAGCTGGTGCAGTCGCGGGCGTACGTCCTCAACATCCTGCAGACTGGCCAGCACTTTGCTCAATGACTCGAGTGTCCGGTCGTTGGCGTCGTCATAGAAGCTCGGCACAGGAATACCGTTACTGGGCTGCATGAGGAATGACACGGGGTTGTTATCGACGAGGATAACACGAGACAGATCGCCGCCGCGCACCACGTTTAAGTCTTTGAGAAACATGCCTTTGCGTTGTTGACACGACTCGCGAAAGAATCGGCCTGCAAACAGGTTGCCCTTGGGGTCGAGGGCGTCTAGGATGGGCTTGCCGTAGGCCTCTAGGCCGGCAGTGAAAACGTACACGTCATAGTGCTTAGCGGCTTCCTCTAGAAAGCGGTCAAGGCCTGGTCGCTTGTTGACTATTGCGCGCTCGCCATCATCCATAACGATCTCAAACGAGTCGCTGTACTCCTCTAATTGCTCCGGGCGGTATTCACTCTGGCGGTACTCGACCTCGTTCTGGAACTTGCTGTGTACGAGACACTCGTCCATGTCGAGCACCAACGCGATGCGCTCCGACGGCGCGCGCACGTGGGCACCGCTGCGCTTCTTGGCAGCTGAGACTTCGTCAGCGAGTCGTGACCGAGTCACGCGAGGCTCTACGGGATACTGAACGACGGTGGCGCTCATGATGCTACGGAGATCAGAGTAGTGTTACTTGGTATGCCGCCGCTTGAGGCAGGTAGCCGACACACGGAAAAAGTGGAAGTGAATGAATGCTCCGTTGAAACTCGGGAGCGTCAGGCGGGGATTCTCGTAATTTCTTCTCGTCACAGCTGGAAGGCGCTTAAGACAGAAACAGGCGGGCTGTAGTGCTGAAACGGACAGGCGACAAGTTTTTTTGGGTCGGGCTCGGGGCTCGGAGAGCAAATTCAACAATGAAGTGTCCGGAGCCGAATGCGGGCTCAATAAAAGGCAACGAAGAGGGCTAGAAAAGATGGAACAAGTCTTAAAGCGGCAGTACCTACGAAAGCGTCGAAGCGGTCATAAGAAAAGGCTTGTAACTCGCCCACAAATGGTAGGGTTTTAGCATTTGGGTTGTCAAACTGTCAGCGGTTGAGGTTCGTGTTCACTTGCAGCCAGTATACCCCGGCCTAATTCGGTCAATTTAACCAGGGATGCGTTGCTAGGCCCAACTGCAACGGCGAGTCCCATCTGCGAAGGCAGTGGTTCGGCGCTGCATCACCTGGGCTGAAAGGCGTTGGGAATCTCCGCCGTGCTATCCGCCAGCGTGCAAAAATGCAAAAGTGACGCC